AGTAGGTTGAGTCTTTAGTCTCAAATACATTGAGTCTTTAGTCTCAAATACATTGAGTCTTTAGTCTCAAGTAAATCGAGTCTTTAGTCTCAAATACATTGAGTCTTTAGTCTCAAGTAGACCGAGTCTTTAGTCTCAAGTAGATTGAGTCTTTAGTCTCAAATGCATTGAGTCTTTAGTCTCAAGTAGATCGAGTCTTTAGTCTCAAATACATTGAGTCTTTAGTCTCAAGTAGACCGAGTCTTTAGTCTCAAGTAGATTGAGTCTTTAGTCTCAAGTAGATTGAGTCTTTAGTCTCAAATGCATTGAGTCTTTAGTCTCAAGTAGACCGAGTCTTTAGTCTCAAGTAGATTGAGTCTTTAGTCTCAAGTAGATTGAGTCTTTAGTCTCAAATGCATTGAGTCTTTAGTCTCAAATACATTGAGTCTTTAGTCTCAAGTAGATCGAGTCTTTAGTCTCAAATACATTGAGTCTTTAGTCTCAAGTAGATCGAGTCTTTAGTCTCAAATACATTGAGTCTTTAGTCTCAAGTAGACCGAGTCTTTAGTCTCAAGTAGATCAAGTCTTTAGTCTCAAATACATTGAGTCTTTAGTCTCAAGTAGATCGAGTCTTTAGTCTCAAGTAGGTTGAGTCTTTAGTCTCAAGTAGATCGAGTCTTTAGTCTCAAGTAGATCGAGTTCAAGTCACCGTTTCAGACCTAAGCATCTCTTAAAAATGACGTTCTCAAGTGACAAAAACCACCATGTTTTTGATTTTTATTGATTTTCAAGATATGCATTAAAAATCAAGTTACAATGAATACACACGCACATTTACATACATATACATACAAAACATTGTAAATAAATGAATATATATATATATATACAGATAGTAAAATAATATATATATATATATATATATATATATATATAAAATAATGAATAAATATATATAAATAAATATAAAACCCAACTCTCTCTCTCTCTTCAGGTTCTGCAACGAGGGCGTCTCCTGTCCCCAGCCGGTCTTCTGGTCCCCGTGGGTGTCCTGGACCAAGTGCAGCACAGAGTGCGGAGGCGGAGTCCACTCCAGAGTCCGGTCCTGTGAGAACGGAAACAGCTGTCCAGGATGTGCTTTGGTAGGAAACATAGAAGGACACGTGGAGCTCACATCTCTCGGTTCAGGGATACATATTGTTGTTGCTGTGGCTTTGTGAGAAGATGTGAATCCATGCGAGTTGATCCTCTAACGAGGCTGAACTTTAATGAAGGAAGGGCAGCGTGGTTGATAACGACGTGGTGTCAGCACGTCCACGTTTCACTCCCGTCTCTTTAAATGTCAACGAAATCTGTGACGTCAAAAACAAAATGTCACCTTTCTTCTTCTTCTTCTTTTTTTTTATGTGGAAAATGCAAATGTGATTGCTATCTCTGAGATGAATGACGGTCTCTGTAGGAACAGGACACACTTTGAGTCAGAGATCGATTTAAAGTTAAAACATCTCAATAACTAATCACTGTAAAGGGATGTTAAAGTTTCCTGAAGGATGAATTCTATTGATCCTAATGGATCTTCCTTCAACGTTTCTATTTGTACACAACCAATACGAAAATCTCCAGGACTTCATGAACCTGTTTCATCATGTGACTAAACGGGACAATATCATTTAAACTGGTCCAGTATTGAAGGTTAGTTAGCTAGTGAGCAGAATAACTGGTGTCTAGAATTCCTCTAGCAGGGTTAAGTTGTAACCCTCCTCTTCCTCCTCTTCCTCATTCAGGAGTACAAGGCCTGTAACCTGGAGGCGTGTCCCGAGGTGAAGAGGAACACGCCCTGGACGCCCTGGATGCCCATCAACGTGACGCAGGGCGGCGCCCGCCAGGAGCAGAGGATGCGCTACATGTGCCGAGCTCACCTGTCCGATCCTCACGAGCTGCAGATCGGACGCAGGAAGGTGGAGACGCGCTTCTGTCCCAACGACGGAACGGCAGCCTGCGAGACGGACAGTAAGTTCAACCAGCCGACACTGATTATTGAACATTGATGATCCATAAACTACTGGATTCATTCTAGTTTATCACCAACACTACATTTTACAGATGACATGTGAACACATCATGATAACGTTATAATGTACCTTCAGCCAGTACTCATGTTCACTGAGCAGAGCCTGAAGGCATCATCATGTAACTGAAGTGAACCTCCGTTGGTTAGCCGTTAGCGGTGCTGCTAACGTTACTAGCTCTCCT